ACGGTCCCAGTTCAGATACAGGGATGCAGGGTGTACCTCTGTGAAGCCAGGTATCCACTACAGCAGCCTGCAATGAGTAAGTAGTGTATCTCCATGAAGGGACATACTGCGTGAGTAGTAGCTCTTACAGCTCTTACCTGCAGCAGCCTCGTGCAGCCCAGCATCACCATACATGAACTGGGATGACCAATTTAGCTGCAGCACCAACACACAGCACGTGTGGATGGCAAACTGGATGCTGACAGCATCAGCGGCTCATTTATCGGTGAATAATGTCTTTGTGGCTTGCTTCATTGGATGACCGGACAGCGCTAAAGGTGTTGGATGCCTGACAGTCTGAAAGTGAGCACGAGCTGTAGGGTGATGTGACTTTGCCTTCCAGCTTGTGCTTTTGGTGTCTTCTTGCCAGCAGTGCTGAAGGGTATTCAAACCAGCAATGTTCCCAGTGTGGCCAGCTTTCCCCATCATTTTCCAGTGTGGAGACTATGGCAGTCCCTTCTGAATTTGGATACTTGTCTTCAAGCAAGGAACAGATAAGCTCTTAAATAAAAGTGATTGTATGAATGTCCATAGTAACAATGGAAAAGAGAGGCATAGAGAGGAAAATATTAAACAGGTTGAAAATTACTTCTAGGTAACAGATCCTGAAAAAGAAGAAACTACTTGATGGCCTGCAATAAATAAGCTGAAGTAATGTGCGAATGCTATTTTTATAGTGAGCCATACCAGTGGTGCGATCCTGCAAAAAGCTAAAGGTTTCTTGAGAATTTCTGAGCATCCCTAAGAGCTTGGTTCAGGACATGACTCACTCGTAGAGGGAACCCAACGTTGCCCTCTTGTTACCAAGTATACTAAATTGGGTTTTCCACCTCCAGTAGGAAGTATATTTTTGAATATCGTTACTTGAACAAAGACAGCATTAGCAAGTCAAATGATTTTGCATAAGCATTTTTTTTTTTAAAGAAGGCCACAGAATGATGCTTTTTATACAATGTAGCATTTTTTGTAACTCAGTCAAAGTGAATTCTAAAATTCTATTTCAGAATTACTTTCAATTATTTTAAGACTTGTAAATTTTTGGTAGTGGAAGAAGGGCTCAGAAATATTCCTTCAGCAATAGACTAATTAGTCCACCATGTAATTCTGATCTTTGTTCACACATTTTAAAGGTGTAAACATCATTGTATGGCAAAACTGTATCTCTATTCCCCATCTGTTCAGTTAGAACAATAAAGTATATAAAAATTGGCGCACGTAACATCCATTATGAGGTCTTAAAATTAATTTTATAGTGAATAAACATGGGCAATGAGAACAGTATTTTTGTAGCAGATTCTAATATGTTACTGTTGTGAAATATTGGCTTAACTGGGAGACTACTTGTGAAGGAAGATTTATTTTATTTTTATCAGCTCCAAGTCTTTAAACATAATCTAGAACATAGCATTCTATATTGCTGACCATGTTAAAAATTAAGAATTAAACTCAGCTGAAAAACACAAAGGGATATGTATTCCATGTTGAATTTCCAATATGACCATGATTTAAGGGATTGTGTTCATTTAGAAAAAATTCTGAAAAAGAAATAATTCAATTTTTTATAAGACTTACTTTCCTTCCAGAAATATGCTTCATTTTAATGTTACATTATTTCTTTGTATTTTATCTGATTTTTAAATTTTTTTTATATATTTTATCAACGCAATTAACAATTACCATTTCTGATAGCAACTGCTGACTAAAACTGCTTTGTCTTTAATAACACTAAACTAAATACGTCATAATTATAACTGTAAAATGTAACCCTATAAAACTTGAAATTAATATAAAAATAATAATTGAAATATTGAAAGAAAATTACAAACTTTATTTATTATTTACATTCCTTTTTTAATTTAAGATTCACAAATGTAAGTATCTTGATCTTTCTTTCCTTTCCAGAAAAATGTTATGTTTTAAAATCGTAAACTTCATATGGAGTGGAACTTTAATGTACTGACCACCTCCTCTGCAGTCCAGTAAAAGCCACAGATTCCCTTGGTAGACTATTCCTGTGTGTAGCAAAGTGAATGGCTGGAAAGAAGAGAAAAAGAAGAGTGAAATGGAAAAAGAAAAAGCAGCTATCATCATAGAAAAGTAAGAAAAATGGAAGACAAAGGGAAGCAATCAAAGCCCCCATGTGCTTCTAATACACAATTCTCTTGTAACACCTGGAAATTTCCTACTAACCTTAGCCATCTAACCGCCCACAAGCTCCTCTGTTCCACCAAATGTCTCAGCTTGCTTTCTTCCTAATTACAGGCTGGAACCTGAAAATTGTATATTAATAACCATATAGATAGGGTTGGAGCTGTAACTGGGTGAACTGGGTGAAAAATGTGATGGGAATTAGAGAATATGACCAAAGGATTCACAGGAGCCGTTGTTTTCTCCCACTCCCTCTGCAACTATAACAGATCCCAATTTTTCACTCTGAAAGAAGGAGGACAATGTACACTGTGCAATTCCAAAACCAAAACACTTCATCTTAAGATGCCAGTGTGGTTGCTAAGTAACAGCAATGTAGTTTATCTGCCACATCAGTCACATGCCTCATGAACACATGGAAAGTGGTTAAGGTTATCATAAATCTTATGCTGCCCATGTATTAAGATATGTATTAAGATAATATTCTGTTTTCCTCAAGAATGAATTAAAAATGCTCTGAGAAATTTTAGGTAGGATGTTAAAATAAAAAAAATTAAAAGCTAATAAAAACCTCTATATTCAGACAAATTAAAATGGATGGACAGGTCAAACAAACACCTAAGCATACCACAAGCAGGTACTGCCTGGAGTACTGAGAATAACTAAGAAAGCAAAACAAATCTCCAAACTCAATGGCACGGTTTAATGGGAAGGTTCAAGATGCTGTCTGAACATAAAAGGTATCACCCCAGATGGAAACTTAGCCTAAACAAAGATAACAAAAAACAGCATAAGGTGTGAGAAGTGCAATGAAGGTAGATTCAAAAGGCCAGAAGAAAACTCAGTGTGAGATTTTTAAAAGCTCTCAATAATAGTCTAACTTTAGACTAAATAAAAATAGAATTGTATCCACTGAAAGTTAGTAAGTCATGGTTAAATAGTTGAAAATTTCATCAGGTAAAGTCTAGGAAGCAGAAGATTAAAAAAGAGAGAGAAAGCAAATGCTAAAAATGTCTAAGAAACAAGAAACTTTCAAAATAAGGAATGGGTCTTTTGGACCTCAGAGAAAGAAGCAAGCAAGGAACATAAGGACAGAGCTGAGAAGCCAAATGATTTCACACTGGACTGCATCAGTTCAGACTAGACTTATCCCAGATATAGTCTTTCCAGTTATAAAAATGTTGTCAAAAGATGAAATGTTGGAGTCAACTGATTAACTGAGTGGGAGAGTAACTAGCTTTAGATGGGTTAAAAAAAAAAGTGAATGAAGATGCTGAGCTGCTATCAAAAGTATGCAGTCTTTTTTTAAAGCGGCCTGTTAGAAGACTGAAAAGTAATACAGGCATTAGGAATAACCCTGGAAATTACAACGCAAGAAGTCCTCTTTACTTTAGCTAAACGGTTGAAATTACCATCAGATGTAAAATATCTCTTCTGACACAATTGTACAGTTCCTGCTATAGAACACGTATCGAGATGAAGCTTTCTAAATGTGTATGTGTATGTTTCTGTGTGCGTGCACAGGAATAATTTCAAGTTTGTAAGAACTCAGCAGCTCTGTTGCAAACTCCAGCAGTCCTTACCCATTCCAGCTATGGCTGTCTGAACCACAGTCATCTTCCTGGTGTTGTGGTAATGAAAAAGGTATTGATTTTCCTGTATCTGGGCTGAGAAAATAGGTTTGTCATATAGAGTTGACTATTCATAGAAAACTTCTCATTTGTAAATGTAGTGCACTCTGCTGTGACATTTTAAATCTTCTATTTCTAAGCTGATTTTTGTGAACTTGTCAAATTGGAACTGCTTTCAGCTCTGTTAGGAAAACCACTCAGGTTTTTACTTCATTCTCCGCTGCTTCTTAGCGTAACTCTCTTCCACTTGGACAATCTGTATGGTGGTTCCAATTAAATGGCACGACCCCAAGTATTTTTCACCCACTCTTGAAATATGTTTTTTGTTTTGTTTTTTTCAGCAGAGTAGTTATGAAAACATTAAACAAAAAGTAACAATTTTCTTGATTCTATTTTTAAAAAAAAGGAGATAATGATAGCCAAGAAAATCTACCAGATGGTTCTTTTAATAAATACATTAAAGTCTCTTTTATTTTTCTCCAATTTTAGCGACTAACATAACAGAAACTTTCAGACCATCAAACCAGTTTTCACAATCTGCCATAAGTTTGCATTTCACAGAAGTAACCCTGACAAGCACTAATAGATGAACGTTGTTGGTGCAATAATAAAACAGTATAAGGCATATTTACACCATCCTTACATACAGAACACTGTACACACAAAAAAATCACAGATCCAGAACAAAGTAAATTCAATCCCTTAGACGTTTTACGTTTATAGGCTTGGTATCAAACAAATAATTCTCCAAGCAACAGACAACCTCTTGTTCTTGTGTGATTTGTTTGTAACATTGTGCTCATGCAAAATAGGTATTTGCTTTATTGCATTAACATTGAAAGAACGTTGGGAGTTCGTTCTGAAACCAGTTCAATCGAATTTTAAACCCTGTTTCTCTTCATCCATAGCAAGTCTGAGTCATTTTTATTGGTGACATAAAACAAGGCGTTACTGATGATTGAGATTTTTATTTGGTAAGTTCCAAAACGATAATGAAGCTCAACTGACTACAGTTCAAAACCCATCTTTCTTGACCATGCATATTTTTCTTTGCTATTATGACGTGGTTTAGATGAGACACCTTTTGTATTTTTAAAGTTTCTATCTTTTTATATATATTTTTAAAGAAACCATGTACTATCCAACATCCACTGTTTTCAGAAAGAAATAAGCAGCAGGAAGAGGACATCAGTAAGTTAGTGGCAACTTAATAAACATCAAATGCCCCAGAGATATGTCATGAAAGAGTTGATTACTATAACCCATATTTCTGTAAGAGTTCAGACTGCCAGGGACGTTTGCGCTCTGGAAAGTAATCTGGAATGTGGATTTTTTTAAAATCTTGGATACATTTTCTCATTTCTTCCTCAACACTCAGCTTCTCACATACCTTCTTTTTGGAAAGATTTGTTTCTCTGGACTTGCTAATGAGAGTTTGAAAGAGTTCACTGTTTCTGCGTTTGTCTGGTGGTGGCATCCACTGCACCAGGGCCTTCTTAGATGGGCGATCCAAAGTCAGAGTATTTGGCTGGTGGGCTGTGGATGGCTGAGTGCTGGTGGCATTTTCTTGAGGGGTGCTTGCTTCCGAGTGGCTGTCACAGCTTGACGTGGACAACTCGTTACAGGAAGTCCCACTTTCACTGCCCTTGTCCAAGACTTTGTCGTGCTTCCTTTCTTCGTGATCTTGTTTGGGGGAAACTGTTTGCTGGGGGGGTCCTAATACAAGGCAGGAAAGGAAAAAGTATTAAGCAAGCACTGGTTTACACAGAAAACTGATCAGCTACCATTTAGAAAAACATGACTCAGAGTCTCGGCTGGGATAAATTGGTGGCATTTCCTTTCATTCAAAAGAATTATACCAGACAGGCACACAGTTCGAAGGTCTGGTCCTACAAGTGTGTTCAGTTGTCAAAATTCTCACTCCTGAAAATGTTTACAGCAAGAACAGCTTCACTGCCCACCTAAGAATCCAGGTAATGAAACGTGTATAATGTTCACAGATTATCTGCACCGGAAATCCCTGCAGGCAAGTTTAAATGAGCAAGTTTGCTGTTACACCCCAAGAAGTTTATTATGAGAAATTAGATTTTGTAGTATTATGAAAATACTACCATATAATTTGAAAACTCTTTGCTTAAATAAAAAACATTCCAAGGGCTCAGATTTTTTTTTTTGGAAGCTCTTAACTCATCTTGCCAGAACAGTCTACTGATCTGCAGTCTACTGCTCTGCAGATGTCAACTCTGCAGAAGCCCCGGACAGGAAAAGGAGCATTAATCCTAGAATAACAGAGAGATTGCTCACTACTGACAGAGTCTTTAGGCTTTTTTTTTTTTTTTTTAATCCTGTAGTGATTTCACTGCACTTCTTAGTGTCAGTTATTATCCCAGACTTGCCTCCGTGCAAGCTCAGAATTCCGTTGTACACCTCTTACTGCACAAGCTGGCAGGGAAAATGAGGTTATGAAGTTATCGGTAAAGAGGCACTCTGCAACGGCTGGGAGAGCCATCTGATGGCCTATCAGCAGGCACTGCTCAGCACTTCATGCACCTGAAAATCAGATCTAGGCTGTTAGTTTCTCCAGATATCACTTTTGCTTTGAAGTCTTAAGCAGAATACAAATGTGAAAATTAGGTAGTATTCGCTAAATCTATTCAAGTGTTTTCATTTCTGAAGCCTTATTTCAAAACTCCAGCTGTGAAGTGAAATGATGCTATGCTGGCATCATATAAACGTCACAATCTTAATTTAGGACACTATCGAAAGCTCACAGAAATATCTACAGAGTTCAAGAGGCATTGGATCAGACCAAAGGGAAACATTTCAAAGATGTTTGAACATGCAAATGAAAATGAAGATTGGGACTTCAGTGGCAGTTGTGTGTTTGCTACAAATCCTGAAAGAGTCCAAAGAGTTTAGATATCTAAATATCTTAGAAAAACTAGATTACCTTTACAGTTCACCAAAAACACCACCAGCATCAGTTAACCACCTTTGCCAGTACCAAAACTCAGGGTATGACAACTCAACCTTGAGTTACTGGGACAGACTTGCAAGGAGATTTTTGAGTCACTTAGTATTCTGTTTTTCAGAATTACAAATTAGAAATATAATTACAATTATAAAGAATGCAGGAGCAATATGAACACTCTGGTGTCTTTTTGACAGTGCAGTTCTATGATTCAAAGGAATCTACGACAACTGCAATATTTTATGTGAGACACAGAGGAAAACAAAACAAAACACAAGAGCAAATAAATAATAATCTAACAACAGCAGCATTCAACAATCTGCTTTTCTTTTGGTTTAGCCAGCATCCCAGGATGAAGTGTCACATTTCTGTGGTCCACCTAGAGAAACTCATGAATAACCAAGACCCAAAGAAGAGAGACTACAATCCATCAGGGCTTGTACTTGCATTATTCAGAGTGAAAAACACAAGTGATTTTCTACTTCATTATACTAATCCCAAATATTTAGCACATGGCTGCAGTGATTTCCTTCCTCTTTCTCCTCCAGAAATATGTTCACCTTCTTAAATAGATTTACATGCCTTCCTTCTATTGTTGTACTTGGCATTTCATTTCATACCTCAAACCACTATATGAATATGCTAAATCAAGAGTCAGCTGGCGTTATGGAATTATTCTGGCTTTGCAGCATGTGACTATAAAACTGAGTATTTAATCAGATAGTGATTTCAGTATTGTTACTCTGAGTTTCAATGACATGATTAACATCAATATCTAATCTAGTTTACAATCTTAGCTTCTTCAAATGTAACAACACATTCTACGACTAAGAAAAGAAACTTTTCTGTTAGCAACACCCTGTAGTCTTCAACTCTGTCTTTCCTGCCCAATTTTTTGCTGTAACTTCATAAATCAAGATATTCTTTCCAGTTGGTCTATTTATACTTACTTCTTTATTGGTACTCCTTGCTTCTCAAGGGCTCAAACCTGCAATGTACTAAGAATCTATTTCAAAAAAGCGCTGAAATACATCTTCAAGAATATAAAAAATTCCATTTCCTGCAACAAGATTATTCAAGAGCCTGAAATAGGCAGGTATTTAAATGCTTTTTTGGATCAGAGCCCTGAGGTTCAGTACCTTACAACACTGAGCTCTGTATGCTTCACTGAATTGCCTAAATTCACAGTAACTTTAATCCAAACATAGGTTTCTCCCACACCTCTCCTTTTAAAAATTAACAAATCCTCCCTCACAAAGAATTCTTTATATGCTCCTGCACTTCTTTCTCAATAGTGTGTTATTAGCAGAAGCAACAGTTCTGCTAGAGGGGAGGTTTTTCACACAATATTTTCCACCTGCTGAAACCCAAAAGAATTTATAAATACATAAGAAAGGATTCTCAAAAGATATTTGTTTAATTTGCAACATCATGAGATACATTTAGGTACATCTCTAATTCAGAAAATATCTCCTTATTGCCCTCTATGCTGGCACACTCATTTGTGGCTGGGATTGTGTGATGGGATGCTGTCTCCACTGCACCTTCTCAGCCCTTCCAGAATAACACCAAAGACCTTCAAACAGCTCAGTCTACCTGAAACTACTTATTTTCCAGGAGTGCAGAATAGTTCTTAAAAACTCAGAGAAAGTATACTTGCTCCAACAGGCACATAGCACTAACAAACTTCACTGATTGACAACGTGTTCCTCCTGCTCCTGCCCTTTCTAGGATTTCCCACCTGCTTCTGGTTCTCCAACTTCTCCTCCAGGCAGTTCCCGTAGACACCAAACTTTCCACTTCTTCTTTTTCTGTTATTGCTTTTAAATGGCTTCCTTTCTCCCAGAAAGTTAGAAAGTGAGCTCGCCCTTTACCTGGGCTTACACACCACCTCTACCATGGTGGCTACTAGACTTCCAAGTCTAGTAGACTTGAGAGAATCTCTCAAACACATTTGTCTGATTAGGAAGCGATATTACATTTACTTTGACTGTATTTATTCCTCGTTTATGTTGCTCTCTGCACACATTTTAGCCAACATTTACTGGCAGAACTGACTGACAAAATAAACACTTGCAAGCAGTTACTAGAAAATATTGGTGGAAAATGAACTAGAAACTTATAAACCTAATTGTCTGCAGTGAAAATCTACTTCTGTCAGTTACAAGAATCAAAACGGGAACCAGAAGTTCTCTCTGGCTTCCCTGTCGAACAATAACTGAGCAACAGAGCTCCAGTCAGGAACAGGACATGACAAATAAACAGCAAACCATCCACTGCCCAATAACTATTGGTTGAAAATTGTAACCAAGTACTTCTGGAAATAAAATAAAGCTTAGATAGGTCTAAATTGCTTGTGGATATTCATAAAGTGCAATCTGAATAATTATTTGAAGATTTCTTTAGCTCTATCTCCTGCAACAGAGAAAAATACCACACTGAAAACATTAAAAGCATAAAATAATGATATTCTGCTAATCTACATTTCAGTTTTTATGTACACTTATTGTCTTAAATAGTAATACAACAGGCTTAAAATAAAGGAAATCCTGTTTTAATCCAATTAACATCACTGCTCCATTCTTCTCTCTAAGTCCAATGCTCAGTTTACTACCTGTGCAGTGGCAGATTCACAAATAAATGTCTTCCTCACTCAGCTACCTTATTCCTACAGCGTCTCAAAGATCATTTGTTTGTTTATAAATCAGTTTATTTTTACTGCAGAATGTAAAAGAAGTTGTGAACATATGCATAGATTGCTGAGGTTAGCTACGGAGAAACGGAGAAGAACGGAAAAATCTTCCTCTGTAGTATAACAGTTATAGCTGGATATAAGACATGTAGATAAGAGTTGAAGCTGATACAAAAATAGTCATCTGGAAACAAAATATAACCAACATTTTAAACGTGTTCAATATGCAGTACCTCAATCAGGAAGAATGGAATCTGTTAAAGACATGCTACCTTTTACTGTTGGTCCAGAAAATATACATGAAAAAAGTGAAATGATTTGAGTTTTATCAATCTCCTTGCCAGCATTATAAAATTAAGCTTGTTTGTTGATTTAAATAAAAAACTGAAACCAATTAAAAAAACCCAACCAAACTAAGCAAAAAATCTTGAGTTTTTCTATGATGTAATTTTAGTGACAACAAAGTTCTTGGGGGTATTTTATCTTCATAATTTTCTGTTTCTTCAAATGTACTTTTTTTTAAAAAAAAAAAGTTCTACTAGCTATAGTCTATTGAATTAATCAAATAATCCAATTAAGGGTTGCTTTGAACTGCTAGAGCTATGAATGGAACTGATGGTTGCATAAGACAAAAATTTTTAGCAAATACTTTATATTTATTGAGAACACATCTTAAAAACATTGCAACAAAATTAATAAAATTATGATGTAAAAAAATGCCATGTTTTTAACTGATTTCATCAAAAATGAAAACAGGAGGGCAACAGGGTTTTAAACTGACTGATTATATTGGAAGGCTCAGAAACATAATAGCAAAGAAAACAAATGTTATTTTCATTTGTATCTGTAAAAGAAATTATATCTGATCCAACAATACTGTTTGTATTCTGATTCATAATTTTTGCCTGTTTGAGAATATTGGCAGGATGTGATTTGCTCATGATTTTGCATGAAATGCAATTTTTTTCACATGGTTTTGCATAGGGGAAAAATCCTTATTTTTTATAGGCTACACAGGACCTTCAGTCTGGTACACAGCTATGTTAAACACCT